TACCCACCCGGAGCGCCTCGCGTCCGGACCGCCTCCACATTTGAATACGCTCGGCATAACCTCACTTCGTCTCGCCGAATCCCCTACCAGTTTAAGAGGCTACTAACTATGCTGCCGTGCTAAGGAAAAACGCCGTATGAACATTCGAGAGTTGCCAAGTTTCCTAAAATTGATTGTGTATTTTTGAGTAAGGTTGTGAATATTTTTCCTTGAAAATTTCCGGTATTTTAGATTAAATTGCGAGCAATGTCGTCTGAAAATTTGAAGCAAAACATTCAAAAAATTTCCAGCGAATTCGTTTTTAATCGAGGGAAATTTGGCGATGCTTGTTGGCTCATACAGCATTTTTCCTTGACACGGCAATATGGTTAAAAAAAAAATTTATAGATGGAGAATTTGCAAGAAAAAATGTTATCGATTCGTCCGACAAGAGCGCCGTTCGTCGTTGTGAGAGCGCCTAGTGCGACGAGTTTGCAGTTAGGTATTTTTTTTTTAAAAAAAATTTCTGGTTAGAGCAATTTATTGTAGAAAAATATCATTGGGTTTTCCGGCGTCCAAATCATAAATGTTTTCTACTAACAGTTGCAATAGTGAAATTCTGTCTTCACAGGGTGTCTACTAAAACAGGCGGGCTAAAAATTAGTACTTTTTCGGTACATTCCCAAAAAATTCAGCACTTTATCAGTACCTCCATTGAGGAAATTTGAGAAAATTCAAAAATTTGAATTTCTCGCCCAAAATTGAGACAAAAATGACCAAAAAATGACAACCATTCCGGACCTTCTGCAGAATTTCCGCTCTTTTTCAGTACTTCCGTACCCCCCTTAAAAAATTGGTACTATTTCCGGACTTTCCGGACTTGTAGACACCCTGCTTCAGAACAAGTTAAGAGACTATGAATTGCAAGAGACTCACCCTTGATCTATCCTGTCGACAGGGTTTGAGCCGGGCATCATCCCATGCGGTTGCATCGGACCCGGCATAGGACCATGACTGAACGGTGAGCCTGGAGGTAATCCAAACTGGTGTCCCGGGAAAGGTTGTCCCGGTGATGAGTAATGCGGGTTGCCACCACTACCCGGTCCACCGACAAACTGCGGCCCCGACGAACTGGGCCTCCCGACGAACTGCGGCCCGCCACTTGACGGGGATCCGAAAGGGCCCGGGCCATTGAACGGGGGTCCGGCCGAATTCGAGGGAGGAGGGAAACCCTGCGGTTGGGTGGGACCAGGCGTCGACGAGCCCGAGGGAGCGGGAGAGGCCGTGTATTGCGGGGTAGTCGAACCGGTGGGGGGACCCTGGTAGTTGGGGCCCCCGGCTGGCGAACCGGCCCCGGTCTGTTGACCGGGAAAAGGAGATGGACCCTGATAGCCCGAAGGTGGCCCCGAAAAGTTTTGTCCCGAGTTCGGGGTAAAACCCTGCGACTCAGGGGGGGGCCCCTTCCACGAGGCTGCAGGGTCCTCCAGTGTGGCTGGCAGCGTGATGGGTGGAGCGCGGCGGCTACAGCCTGAAACAGTAAACAAACCATGGATAATTAGCAGAGGAACTTATGATACCCAAAATCGAAAAAGATTGTAGTGGGATATGGACTGCATTAAGCAAATTGGAACTGTAAATTCTGGCTCTTCTGGAAAAACACTTATGTGCATGGGGAAACTAATGGCACGTACGTTGTTTTTAAACTGGACTAGAATTTATAGTTCCAAATTGCAAAATGTAGTCCATACGTCAACAGAACAATCTCAAATTTAACTTCAATTTCAACGTTAACTTTACTTTTTAAGTTACTTAAACTGTTAACTATGCAGCTGTATGTTATGTTTGACTTTTTCTTGAAATTGTTGACATTTGTTACATAATTTCGACAATAAATTATCAATCAATCAATCGATCAAAAATATTCTACTTGATCTGAGAGTTGATTCCTACATTCTATGAGATAGTTTTGCTTTAAATAATCCCTTAATTCTAAGTATTTTTTTTCAATTTTGCATTGGAGTTCCTTCTTTTAGGGTCTGATTTCAAAATTTGCCGAGATTTGACCTCACGAATGTCATCCATTGAATGAATGCACATTCAACCAGACCCACCGACCGATAAATCACCTTGAATCAAGTAGGTACACTTGTTAAATGTTACCTTTTAAAAAGCAGTGCTACTGGAAATTTCTTCTTAGAATTTTTTTAAAATACATACGTATATAATTACTTAAGTGGTGACTATCCTATGTGTTTTCAAAGAGAAAATTCTTGAATTCAAATTTGAAATAAGATCATACATAGGGAGTTAAACATGTTGGAAATTGGCTTGGGACTCATCTACAGTCTTATGAAAAATAATAAAGCGTAAAAAATATCATTTTTCTTAGCGATTACGAAGTCTGTTTTTTTTTTTTTTTTTCTTTATTACTCAAAGGCGTGCGGTTGTCCGGCCCGTTACAATGGACTGACCCTGTACCATTCCGAGTGAACCAAGCAGTGCGACAACAAAAAATGACACTTCCATCACCGGGAGCTGGCTTACCGAGAGGACAAGGGAGAGACAATATGATAGGAGTGCAGAAATTACAAAGTTGCGTTGTTTCACATGTTGGGAAAAGTGGGATAAGGTTTACGGTGAATTTAAACCGGAAGTAAAACAACATCCGACTCTAAAAGAAATTTTCCTAGATTTTTTGTTTTGTTTTTAGCTTGTTCCAGATAACAAAGCTAATAGGGAAGTCTAAAACTTGGCAGGGTAAATGTATCCTGTGAAAAGTTATTTGATATAGAAACATTACTTAAATGGCTCATTTTGACTGGAGAAAATACAATTTCTGTAGGTAATTATTTGGGGGGAAATAACTATCAAAACAACTACAACAAGATGTACCTATAGCGATGATAATGTTGCCCAAAAGTATTCAGAAATGTCGCGATAAAATAAGTGCAAAGAAATAAGTTTGGGTAATGTTGATCCGCAGTTTCATAGATATCCATTTCAAACATAAAAGATGAAAAAAATGATGGGGCTGATACATAGCGTGCGTGCGTATGACTAGACACACAACGCCAACTGGATGTGTATGAATACAATATACATCCAAAATCCAAAACAAATCCACAAATTCCAAAACGGCACAAGTAAGACAGTAAAAAAAACAACGCGTTAAATCAAGCAGACTGCAGTTCCAAACGCAAAAAAAATTCGGATATTCTCTTCGGCGATAAACAAAAAAATTGCATCTTGACATCAATACCATATTTTTGCTGTTCAATATGTATTAAGAAAATAATCGTAAGTAAGGCATTTGAAAAAAAAAAATAGTTGACTCTATTAAAAGTTTCAAAAATACTTAGGCTCAAGCCTTTTAGGAACTTTTGCTTTTTGGAAAATTTCCGACACTTCCTCAGAATCTTTCAGAGAAATAAATCAGAATCAGAAAATCTTTCTGATTTCATGGTCCTCTATTCTGAATGTATAAACACTTATTATTAATTTTTTTTCACTCAAAATAATGCACCTTTGGTTGTCAATCCCTTGAACAAAATATCCATGCCATCTTTGGGAGTTACTTGCATTGCCTTGTTATTTGACTTTAACTACATGAGTGAAGGGATACCTTCTTATATTACAAAGGGTTCCGTACCTACCCACCTACTTTTGATTGAAAATTTTACAGAAAGTTTTGAAACAGAGGTACAGGATAGTAACAACAAGGGTAAAAAACACCAAAAAGATGAGTGTAACCAGAGATCTTTTAGAAATACAGGATAGTGAGAGTGCAAACTCGAAGCTGTGAGGAGATTGTGGAAACACCTAAATGATCTGAAAGAGAAGTTTGTTTCTACAAATTAGGAGCTTTTCCATTCTTTCCATCAACCAGGAATGACCGATGATCCCTATGAGAACATGAATTATTCTGTGAGGCAGACGTACCTACCTCAGTGGGTAAAAATAATCAATATTTTCTTTAGATTTAAAAATCAAGGAAATCAACACTGTAGAATAAGTTCGGCTTCCTTCTGATGATCTAAACTAAAGCAGGTTTACTGCTTGTCAGGAAAAATGTCAAAATTCTCCAAACCTTTTTAAGGGTTTGGATTTTGTTGGTACCTAGAGCGGACTCATTTTATGATGAGACAAAAGTCACGTTTTGTTTTTGTTTACGTCACCACTCATCAGTGATGCCATTTGACTGTATGTATTAACCTGTTGAGTGATGCTGATTTGGAGGTAATTGGAGATTGACGTTTGTCTCAACATACGTTGAGTCTGCTCTAATGACAAGCCAAAACTTCAACATCTTTCAACCTATCAGAGTTGTACCCACCGCTAAGTAATCAGAATCACCAGAGCCTATGTAGTAGGTATCGGCCTGATTTTAATGACTTAATTCACGCCCGAGTTCGGCAAAAAAAAATCCAAGACTACAAATGCCCAAATTCCATGGGTTTGAAGGCCTAAAATAAATCTCCTCCTATGACTAAATGCAAAAATATCCACGAAAAAAGAGAAAAACCCATAGTAAGAAAAAGAATCATTGCTTACGGTTATAAAGTGATTCTCTCTGCAACATTAAAGATAAAAATTCTCTACCATTGATTGTATCCCCACATTTTAATAATTTTCTGATTCGTCTACATTTTACCTCTTTTTCTTAACTCGGAGACCCAACCAGTAAGCAGACAGGGGGAAAAATTATTAAGGAAGAACTGTGCACCCTGGTGATATTAAACATTTAATTAGGTACAGAAGAGACACACACACACATACGCTCACTGGCTCAGAGAGAGAGAGAGTGGGTTTTTGTGAATCAGAATTACATTGCGAAAGACGAAGGAGATTGCAGAGTAGGTATACCGTGTTTTCAACTGATCATTACCTAAACTCCTCTATCCAGCTGTTCAGTAGTAGATGAAACCCATTAACGGAAGGGCACAAGATAGCTCAGAATGGATCTGAAAATCAATTCCGTTCCTATTACTTGAAAATCATGATCCAACTGTAAATACTAGACGTTATAAAAAAATTAGGCGCAGTCAAAAAAAACATTATTTTTACGGCTGTAAAATTCACTTTCTCCAAAATTCATGAAATTTCTCACTTTCTGATGTTTACCTGATTGAGAGGACAAGTTTTTACCATTCAGCCACTAAGTAGGGTCCAGATTTTCTCAGGCAAAATAAAATGTTTCTCCTTACTTAGTCAAGAGCAAAATTAGTTATTTTATCATATTATAGTCAAGTAAGTTTATAATGCAGGGCTTAATTACCTACGTCGACTGCCAAATTCGAAACCGAACATTTAGTCTTGAGGTGAAGAGTACCTAACTTTCGGCCCTAAGATTCTCAATTTCTGATAAATTCTGTAATAATTCATTTTTCCAGGTCCTGGATGCGTTATTCTACCTTGGATGGTATATTTTCGTTCTTTTCTTGAGCCGTACAATTAGAGCCTTCCCAACCTTGCAAAATAGCAAGGTTACTTAGTTCGCAATGAAGTTAGATATGCAAAATTTACACTAGCTACGCTTGTTTGAAGTCTTGTCGTTATTTATGCTAATGACACTAAAGTACTGATGGACTCATTATTTTCATTTTTATTGGATAGATTTGACCCGAGCTTTTTTCACGTGCCTTCATCAACATACCTACAATGAAGTACTTGTAGGTAAATGGATAAGCTGATGGTAGAGGGAAGAAACTGATGGTTCATTGGTAGAGCACTTCCAGTAGCAAAATATTTTTAAGGGCACACGAGAAGGCAGCTTTATCATCTGTTATATAGGAATGCTAAATACGTTAAAATTTAAAAGTGGAGGAAACTGGTGAAACGTATATCTAGGCATCCCATCGGTAGCCACTGTGACCGCACACACAAGTAGTGACCAAATAAGTATATAGCCCACTCACGGTTAACAGTGTTCATAAAGACTATCAGGGGACAGACCTTTTGATATCTTCAGCTTGTGCGGAAATTTTGGTTTTCTGGACAAGATCTGAAATTCAAGCTGTGTTTCCTACAGTGCAGCTAATGCTGTCGAGAAAAATAACGTCTGCAGAGGGAAAATTTTCTCCATCAGCTCTAGGTCAATGCGATAACATTATTGATAAGAACTGAGAGAAAATTTGAGGGTCTGGCTCAAGAGAAGAAAATTAGGTAAAGCAAGAGTCAATCCGATCAGTTAGGAAAAATTTATAAATTGTCGGAAAATGCCCACGTAAGCTTGAAAAAAACTTCCCTCCCATTCAGGCCATATGAACGTAAACTGTTACAGAAGTAAAATCAAATAGTTGGAAACACTATCTACTACAAAACTTGATTACATGTAGTCAGAATGCTTTTAACTTGAATTGAGCTGATTACAATTACTCGGTGAGTAAAACTCTCATGATCAAACTAAGGACCACGAGAAATGTTGATTTAACGCTTTATTTGAGGTTCATGACTAGATTTTTAGTGTAGTATATGTGGTTTCCTCTAGGTTCGATGTGAAAATGCATAGTATGGTATTTAACTTCGGATCTTGTACAAGGATCTACAGCTACTTCTTAGACTGTCTCAAATGTGTGGCCATCCAACAACAACAACTAGGTTGATAACAGAATTTTCATAATTAACTTTCTCGGAACCAGAGTGAAGAAAACTCTAAGGGGTGGTCAATAGGAGAGCAAAAGTTCCATGAAAATAGTAATCTTGTTGAAAGCTAATGAATTGATATCCTGGATACATGATAGAAAGAAGATACAGCTCCTATCAGCGGAAGCCTAACCTTGTTGTGGCTTGAGCAGGGCCCATAACCTAACTGAAAATTTTCCGATGAAGATTATTAAAATAAAATTGAATGAAAATGAAAAACAGAAGGGAAAAAAAGGGCAAATTACATTTTTTGCTTCTCTGGCCTCCACGTCCCTGTCTCATGCTGTGACAGTCAGGACTCTGAACGGAATATTGTTTTGCTTGACTGCACTCTCGTCGTCATGTTCGAGGCAGCTCACCGAATCACTCACGTAATAAACACCGGTAAAATCACTGCACATAACTACACTCCCGTGGAATTTCGAAGGATTCAAGCACTTTTCGCGAAAAAACACTTCAATACGAATCAAAACAAATGAAAACACAATCCCCACGTTGGTTATCTACCGACCTCAAGCGGCCTCGGAGGAAGAGTACTGAATAAAACTCGACCGCACCACTGGAGTCAAGAGCTAATTGTTTCACTATACTCCGCAACGACTCTGAGATTATTTTTGGGTAAACTCGGCGTAAAAAAAGGAACAACGATTAAAACATGCATTTTAGTGGATAAGAACGATTTTTAGTATCATTTCGACCGATGAAAACTGTTGTATACTCTCACGTCATGCGTAATCTGAAAAGCCGGTGAAGATTTTGACTCGAGTATTGCGCGTTCATTTTTATTTCGGATCGGAAAGTAAGTACACAACTCAAGAATCTCGTACGAATGAAGCGAGATTGGTGAGGAGAAGATATTCGGAATTATTTGGACGTGTGTCCCTAATTAACGGAGTTACGCGAGTAGGCTGCCGGAGTGGCGTTCGAAATGGTCGCTGTAGCGCCACTGAGAGACGCATGCGGTATCGAGCGGTGGCGAATGTACCGGCGCAGCGCACGGTAAAATCGGCATTTCGTACGAAAACCTCAGCCTGTGTTCGTCCGACTGTCAGCAAGCCACAGGGAAGAGAAACCAGAGAAAAACGAAAAAATGAGCCCACCTTTTTTGCTCCGTGCGAGGGCCGTGGTGGCGTTTTTGGAGGGCAGTTCCAGAGCGTCAACTAGATCTCTTTTTCGGTCTCCTGAAGAACATTTCTCGGCCTGCCATTCCTAGCTCCATGCCGACATCCTAGCGCACTGTCAACTCACGAGATCGCGCAATTTCACGTGCAACGCAAATACACTCCTCGGTGCGACTAGGATCATCTCATTTTTACTCGCTTTTTTCCCCTTCCCTCTTCGTGTTTGATCTCCTCGAGGAACGCACTATCGATAGTGACAATGTCAACCGGAAAATCAATATATTATCACCCTAAACCCGGAGCCGGTGACGCGCTCCTTGGCTCTCTCCTACCGTTTTCTCTGTGACACTGACTCCCGCCCGACTGTCGTCTTTCCTTCGGCCTGACACATGCAGACGTTGCTTTTTTCACCATCCTAATTACGAATTCATGACCTACACTTCGCTCCGCTCTCCTTATAACCACCCCTCGCACTTGCCGTTTACTCTGACTCATTTTCGGTCAACATTTCGCCTTCCTCGCGTCACAAAACCCCGATTTTTACCTTTAACCCTGTAATCATTTCCTCTCTGACTTGCCGCTCAGTATGCCCAATCAATATCAATGCATGGCATCGTCTGGCGCGTTCGACTCTCATTCGTGAAAAATGAAACATTTTTTAATCTGTTGCCAAGTTTTCGAATGTTTATTTCGTCAACGGAAACTGAGAGCGGATTTCCAATAAAGAGCTGCCGTTCTGAGAGAGGGAAAATATAAAAAAAAAAATGTAACCGGGAATAGGAACAATCCGAAAAAATTCTCAAAATCCAACATTCGAGTGGAGGAAGCTTTTTTGACACCGAATCAAACCGAAGGGCGGAGCTTACGATTCAAAAAACGTAGTTAGGAGTAGAGAGAGATTTTTAATTTTTGACTGTCACAGTTGGAAAAAGTGAGAAAAAATGTAATAATATTGCAGCTTTGCCCCCTCTAGCAACGGGAATAAAAATAACTCGGGGGGCGCCACTAATTTTTTTCGGGGGATATCAGAAAGCGTTTTCATTTTTAAACTATTTTCGGATTTCTGGCCCACTTGAAAAAAAGTCTTGCCTCGAAAATTTACCTTTGTGCGCTACGGTAGGGTCCCAGTCCCGTTTTTCACGTCCAGTCATAGATAAAGTCCTTGAAATATTTCCTTTGAATTTGCCAAAAAAGCGTAAAGCCTAAAAAGCATTTTTATGCGTTGCGTTTGATGCGTGTGGTATTCCGTCCGATTGAAGGTTAATTATAGTGCTCTATTACTCCTCGACGAGCACTTCTCACGTGCATGAGGCATTATACGCCTTCAAAAATCCTTATCATGCAAATGATACCACTAATGCAGCTTGTGGGTGCCCGTTTTACCTACCTCCTCGATGGAAGGCTAACTTTAGGTAGCAGCAACAGCGTTTCGATGACTTACGGGAGGAGGTCCGGCAATTGAAAGGCACGATTTGAGAGATTAGAGAAAGATTTTTTTTTGGATGATTAACGCATACGTATTTTATCAGCCCAATGAATGATAAGGAAAACGAACTGCAAGTTGAATATAGGGTACAAGACGAGGCGAATTTTCGATTGTGAATCATTACCAAACCATTTTAAGAAGTTGAAACAAAAATTTAAGTAAGCCACTACTAGAAAACTGTGCGAGTACGAATAATTTAATTTTAAAGGAGCTATGTGCGTAGAATTTGCATGCATAATAATTCCCTTTGGTTTAAAGGGTATGTACAATTGTACATAGTTCCCTTTAGCTTAAGCACATAAACGTCCAATGAACAGGGGCGAAACATTTTGCACAAACGACTATTTTAAGCAGCGACAAAATGGTAGGATTAAGTGAACTTTCAATAATGTTTGCTCAAACTTACATTCTTTCAACCGTAGACTTCAAATCGTTCGAACTCATTTACTTATTTGTTTTTTCATAAAACGTCCAACAACCCAATTTATCTTTTCGACATCTCAATTTCATTCTAAGTTTTGCGGCATAAAATTTCCTTTTCTCTTGGGTAGTCTAATCCGAATGAAGCATCCTGAAATTACGCCTTACTCCCATTCTTTAACACACCATAGCAGCCCCCCTCCCCCCTCTTCAACCTCATTTAACTTTAACATTGTGCGTGCAAACGCCACGGAACAACAGGAAATATGGGATCAGATTCCATACAATTTCGAAACGCTTTTTATCTTTCAGTCCGGGGTGGATCCAGTAATTTGGCAACATCGGATTTCCTCCACTTAAAGCTGTGCTAAATAATCGATTCTTGTCGGAGCACCTAGCCCCTCCAAGAATCGATGCATCTCCATAGATTTAAATGGAGAAAAACAATGTTGCCAGTTCGCTGGATCCGCCAATGTCTTTCAGTGGCTGTATGGATTTGCTCTTATGCCACGGGGACATTCCTTTAGTCATTCAAACGCCTGAAAACATTTTGTCGAGAATAACTCATCTTTAAATAATTTATTCGACCCTTATTATTTCCTTTTGTTTCTGAGGTATGAAAGGAATCACACGAAACCATGCAAATAATTAACCGTGCGTTAATTTTTAACGCACACAGTACAAGTGTAACAATTAATGCGCCTTCAGTTTTCGAGCATACTGCTTCAGTGACAATCCTCTGCCAATTAGCGCGGCGATTTTGAAAATTTCAACCTTAAGTTAAACCTTAAGTTTTTCAAACCTTAAGTTATTTATACGAGGAAAAGCCATGTCAGGAGCACCAATTATATCAACGGGATAAGCCAATCACCAAAACCACCAATAACTAATGGCATGGTCATAAAAAAATTATAATAAAAGCATGAGAAGTTACAACAACATTATATAAGTGTTCATTTGATATAAAAGACCCAGGATATAAGGTTAAATTTTTTTGATTCGCGTTCTGCTCGCACCGGTTCTTTCGTCTCTCGGCGTCGCGTTTAGCTTTTTTTTTCAAATGTGAGTATTTTTTATTAAAGCCACCCCTTTGGGGGTGGTAGTTTTTCTTCTTCATCTTCCTGTGAGTTGTGGTGGCCGGCAGGCCCACGAAGCCATCCTAGTATCGTCTTCTCTTCCTTGTGAACTCTTGGGGTAGGTCTTATGCTCGCGATGGCCTAGCCTCCCCCACGCGTTTCCCTTTTCCTTTTTCATGTAGTCTCGTATCGGCTCAACTGGCCATTTGTTAATTTACTTAACTTCAAAGGTTATTGTTTAAAACTCAAGTTAATAATTTACATCTAATATCACTTTCCAGTGATCTTACTTTGTTACGACTTGTCTTAATTTATGTAAGAATGACGGGCGATTTGTACATAGCTTATATCAAATTTATATAAATAACTTGATTTTAACTTACTTCTAAATCCTTTTTAAAAGCTTCAATTATTTAGCCGGTAAATCATTTATGAATAACAGATTACAAGTGATGTAGCCTACCTCGATGGGTATATTAATTGTTCGACAAATTCAATTTGAAAAAAAAAACCACCAGTATAGGCACCTCAAAGAGCTGTACGTAATTTGAAAAATGAGTTTGTTGTGCCTCGGCGGATCCAGCAATTTGGCAACACCGGATTTCCTCAATTTAAACCTATGCTAAATAATCGATTCTCCTTCAAGAATCGATTCATTCCCATGTGATTAAGTAGAGAACAGACAATGTTGCCAATTTGCTGGATCCGCCGGATTTGCTTGGTAAAAAGTTTCATTGCAATAAAATGAATCGCACCCCGTGCATCTTTCGTTTCGACTGGTCTGAAGGTCCTCCATGAGAAATTGTGCGATTATCCGCCAAATAACAAGTAGGTAAAGACAAAATCTTAGTACCTACCACCATCTCTAATCCTTTGGTAAGTCTAATGATACCTTGCAATTCCAGGATCTCCTCACGCAAGTCATTGAGAAGCTAGAACTCACAGGTTAGCCTTCAATCAAGAGAGTAGGCACAACGGGCACCCACAAGCTGCAATAGTGGTATCATTGACATCATAACGATTTTTGAAGGCGCATGATATCTCCTGCCACGTGAGACGTGCTCAGCCGAGTATTTCAGCACCACGATTCGCCTTCAATCGGACGGGTGGACTAAAACATATCCCACGTGGTAAAATGTTCGTATATCGACGGTGTGGTTCCCCAATCACATATCTCGTTTGCGGTGTCTGAAAATATCCGCCTCTATGTTAATTTTTTAAAGAAGAACAAATTGACATCATTCCTTGAGAGTTTTTGCAGAATTTCCTTCGCACAGAAAAGAAACATCATGGCAGTTTTAAAGAATTGCCGTTGAGTAGTTTTCCGTTTAAAAAAGATAGTATGACAGGAAGTCTGCGACGTCGCAAACCGAGTTATGTGATAGCCGACTTGCACCGTCAATATTCAAAGATTGACAGCCGTACCTCGTGCTTTCGCGAGCTTTTGAATTCAGAATCAAATGATGCATGCTACCAGATAGCCACGCACGAGTAACGCAATAAGTAGTTATCACGATTTTGGGACAACTGTTTCAACGCACTTAGCGAATAATTGGGCCCCGAATTGAAAATAAATTCTTTTTAGGCAACGTCAAAGGAAATCGATCTAGAAATTTTTCTATTTCATCTGAGACGGTCTGAGAATCACGGACCGGGACCCTATCGCCAGAAAGCAAATTTTTCAGGTGAGAATTGTTTATGAGATCGGGTCCGAAATTCAAGTTAACAGTTTCATTGTTTTCAACGTTCGCACGAAATGGGTACAGGAAGATGCCTTTGAGATTTAGATTGAAAATAATTTAAGCAACTGGACAGCCAAACTTCCACAAGCCCGTTTGCTTTCGGCATAAGGCTCCGAAATTCACAATGTTTTTTTCCTTCGTTTTTTTTAATTTATTTTATCGAACTTCCCTCATCTTTTATGGATGGCCTAATCTCATTTCTGATCCCGTATTTTCCCTGCCGCCAAAAACCATGGCAAATGTTTAGAGCTAGTTATGTCCTCGTTTACAGAGACACTTTTATCTCACGCACATTTAGCTCATATTAAAATCATCAAATCAGTCAAAAACCAGTTCCCTAACACTGGACGCTGTAAAATTTGATTTACCGTCACATGCTCTTTTTTCTGGGAAGAACGCAAAAATTTGAATGGTTTCAATAGCACAAAATTGTAAATTCTGCACTCACTATCAGCTGACTGAGACCTTTAAAATGAATACCTTGGGAATAAAGTGGACAAGAACCTAGAGAGTGCTTAATTTAGAATTAGGTGCAAGTTAACTTAGCGCTTGATGAAGCTAATTGTAAAGAAAAATTTACCACTAGTTGCGCCTGACCTCATGATCGTAAAATGTGCCTGCAAATAGATAGTTATGCAAAAGCACTGTACAGCCATTGGGATACACTCTCCAGCAGCTGTATTTTTCTTTTCTTCAGTTTTACCAGAAAAAGACGTTTTTTCATTCTGGGAAGAGATAACTATGTATAAAACAATGATAAAATTATATTCTCCGGATTTCCCATCTGAGTAATAATGCAAAATAATTTTAGAGGTATCCCACCAATTTTCAAGGCCTTGGTGATTTTGTAAAAACTCTCAGACTCAAAAAGCTACATTGAGATTGAGAAGGACCAGTCTCTAATTTTGGAGAAAGGGGCAGGGTCTTTAGAGGCTCCATAATGCTTTTAAAGTTTTCCTTAGCCTGCGTGATTTTCCGGCCCCCTGAGATGAATATGTGATAGAAATTAAATAATATCGTAGAGTCTTTCATGTAGGATACAATAATGTATTTTAACTTACAAATAATAGTCAAAAGATACATGAACTAAACTTGGTGAATTACCAAAAACAAAAATGAACAAAAATTACAAATATTCCAGATCCCTTATACATGAGACAATTCACTCCAAATTTATTAATTTTCACTGACGTGTGAGATGCGAAGCTGACAAAGCATGAGTAGCCTTTTTCAAAAAGTGTGCCAGTTTCATACTAAGAGATGGCTTTCATAGGGATTAAGAGTAAAAATTTGATTTTTTTTTGTAGTGAATGCAAACTTAAACTAAAATTCAGGTGATAAGTTTGCTTTCAATCTCCTAGATTATTGATTTGCACAAATAATGATAGATGTTTGATGTTGAACTTCAACTGATCAGATATGTCTGCAACGATAAAATTGTTGAGTGTTTGATAGGTGACTCCTATCAATCCTAGTGATGAGTCCAAAAATAACTTGGTTTTTCTCCAGCACCCACCAATTTTTCAATTTATCGAGATTCTCTTTTAAAAAAAACAGACTTTTCTGAAGAAAGTGTGATCTCCAGGAAAATGATAAAAGAAAATCAAGATCATTTTCCCAATTAGCAGCCAAAAAGAAATTGGTAGGCATGTACAGAATATCTAACAAATTTTCCTGCTGTTACTCAGAATGAAGCTTGCTATGTAAGACTGTTACGTTTCCTCTTTGCCTTAGACAAGAAAAATACTTAATCTGGGTGGCTGATGGTGCAGCTCTCACTTAATTTTTCCTGTTGAAGCAACAATGACAGAACATTTTTGAGAAAGTCTAATTCCACTTGAAATAGAGCATTTTAATAAGGAAAATCTCACTTTATAGGAAAATATTGGTAAGTGTTGGGAAAAACCCATGTTCATTTTCAGATTCAGTGCTAAAAATTACTGAAAGAGCCCATTAAATGCCCAGCTGTAATACGTATAATTTTTATTATTATAATTTATTTATTTATTTTTTTCTCTGCAGATCGATATAACTTTTTGCAAAACTGATTCTAGAAAACAATTCTTAGACATGGTGAAGAAATTATAGCTTTTTGATGGGTGTGTTTTCAACCAATCAGGTGGAAGATTTTATCCTTCTCCATCGATACCTCACTTTGAAACGTTAAGTTGCTGGGAAAAATTGAAATTTGAGCTTTGATGGGAAATATTAAAGACAAAACATCAGAGGACAACAAAAGCTACTAATTTCAATAAGTTTATTGAAGACGTGAAAAGGGAGACAGCTGGCAGGTAGGAATATTTGCTCACACAGAGTGATGCCAAAAATAGTCAGATTTGAGATGGTTTTGATCCCAGTTTTTGTTCATACACACATTTCATTTTTATTTACAATTATTAGGAATAAATTTTGGAAAAGGAACTACAATTTCAGGCTTATTTTGGAAAAAAAAACCTATGTGCCATGGATTTCCTCCGTGGATGCACCAGAAATAGTAGTTCCTGATTGTAAAATTAAGTCTACTTGTGAGCTGAGCAAAATGGTGTTGCTTTCGGCATAAAATTGTATTATTTTGAGAAATCTCCATTGGATGGAGGAATTAACTACATTCAAGATCTAGTAAGGATGAAAAGAGGGGTATCAATAGGAGCAGTTTTCGTGCTCACCCTGAATTTCCTTAACTCCACAATTTTTGGCTTGACAGAGGTCCTTGTTCTGTGGAATGTATTATGATTTGGTCATTTGCTGTATCTTCTTGGGTCTGGTATTGGCCTAGACATTGGTTTGAAGGTCGATTTTGGCGAAAATTGGGGGTTTTAAGAGTTTGCGGTCGAATACCGAGAAATTCGTATTTGTTATCAAAATCGCCTTTAAGACCTATGTTTTCGACAGTATTAATTCTCAGAGGAGACTGGTAATGACCAAATCATGATACATTGTATAAAACATAGACCTTCGATGAGTAAAAAATCGTAGAGTTTAGGAAATTCAACCAGGGTGGTCCAAGAAACGGCCCTTATCCATACCCTTTCTCTAATGAAGATTTCAAACCAAAACCATCATGGATGAAAGTTGATGAGTTCAAAGACTGGAAAGCAAAGTTGATCAAAAGTACATTCATGGGCAGTTGGGGGGGAGGGGGAAGACCCAGCTTTTTGAGCACTAAAAAAAGTATCTAAGAAAGACTACACATAAATATCATACATGGATATCAACCCAAGATTAGCTTACAAAGTACACGTTTCTATTTATAAATATTTACAAAATTAATCCTAGTTGAACAGCTAAATTCAAAAGACAGAAACACGATTTTTCCTTTCTTCCAATTTAAATTTGCTGTCAAATGGTACAAAAATGTGGGGTGCTGTGGAAAACACGGATATAACATGATTTGTTAGTAAACAATGAAATCGATAGAGAAAATATCTCTCTTCCTTATTTTTCGGTTTTCCTCTCTCATGAGAGTGAAAAAGCAAGGTTCTTTTCGAAAAGTGGCCTCTTGCTGCACACAACAAAAAAGCATCTTGCTCACACTTGAAATGAGTCTCATTGTGCATTTATCTAGGTGGAGCCTTCTTTAATATCGGCAGTGAAACTGCAGGAGTGCATATCTTGACTGCAGAGTTTTGAAATCTCCGCTTCAATCTTATTTTATCAAAGAAGAATAGAGCAATGCTAACGCTTGAAATTTACATGGAATATTTTTCAAGCGGACAGGAAAAATTAGAGAAGTTTTCAAGAGATGACAATGGGTATTTTTGAATTTAAAAAATAGTACACCACAGGAAGTCTGCAAAGTTGATTGAGATACAAATTCCTACGCTTTCACTGTCAATACCAAGATACGCATGAAGTTACACCGATATGGAGTGCACTGCTTTGCTAAAAGCACAATGATATTTGATTCATTAAGAGCCGGAGACAGCCGAGCAAACTGCCATGCTAAGGGAAAACGCTGTATGAGCCTTCAGGCGTTGCCAAATTTCCCTTGATGAAGCACAAATTTCTTGGTAAGTTCATGGATATTCTTCTTCCAATTTTATCATAAATTTTGTTTGAAATATTGCTCTAAGATCCTCAAAATTCCAAGGGAAAATATGAATCACTTGCCTCACAGATAAAAATTTTATCGGAGGAAATTTGGCAACATTTCAATGTTCATATGGCGTTTTTACTTAGCATGGCAGAATAGATTTCAGCAAACAAGAGATGCAAAATTCAAAATTTAAAGGGACTTATTAAAAAAGTACAAAAGTAGAAAAATTAAACAAAGGAGGGAAACTTAGTGCTAAAATAAATTTGGATCTTTGCATTTTCTTCTCCTCCAAAAAGGTTCCAGAAGATAATGCTGCTTGATGCCTCGGCAAAAGAAGAATTTGAATTTAAATTCCTTTGCACTTTACACACTTGAGACCATCTTCGAAAGCTCTGAGTTCAAAAAATGGGCTCAAAAAGATACAAAATTCAGACTTGCAATGGGACAGAATTTCAAAGAAATTTTTTTGGGCACCAAAATTTCTAAGTTTCACTATCTTCAACGGGCACATTTTTACAGCCCAGTATGTAAGTAATTGTCGGGGTGAATTTTGAAAAATGTTGACGGTTAAATTTATACAAAAAAATATGAGGAGGCATGAGTAAATAAGGGAGAAAAGTGACCAATTTGTAGCCTTCGAATTATTTGGAACAGCGAAAGAAGAAACAGAAATATCTCTCCAAACACAAAGGTGAGAAAAAAGTAAGGTAAACATAATGATAAAAAAAAAATTACAAAGCAAAAGTTTGTGATAGCACACAAAGTCATGAATAAGATTACAACCTTGCACTATTTATAAGGCTTAAGCTAAAGTATTTACATATTTATAAAATCGTCTCACTCCAAAAAGGAGCTTCTACACCCTTCTCAAACTCTTTAATTATAGTAATTTCATCTAGGACTTCACAGACATTTCTTCCTAATTTGAACAGTTTGTGAAAATTGGATCCTAGAAACAATTTGATGATAGAAATTAAATCATACATCAACATCAGTGGAAAGACAGAGAAATAAAAAAAAGTAAGTTTTACATAACAACGATCAGATCTTACCTAGTTTTGAAAGGTTTAGCTCTAAATATTTAAAACACGATTAAGTTGGGCAGTTACCATCTTATAAGCTTCATTTAAAAATTAGATTGGCAGGTTCCGATAGGGGCAAGGATTTAACAAAAATACATTTTTCGTGGTAAGTTGAGATTAATTTGAGTTCATAGAAAGACAATTAGATGGCAAATGCGATTAAGAAATAGTACAGGGGAAAACCGAACTATTTGGTCTTAGCGCGATTAAAATTATGGAGACCAAACAAGGTACAGAGTGAAAAAAGATAAACTTCAACGACTAGAAACCATTCTTTAAAGATGTTTTGCGGGAAAACATTGGACGGACTGCTTCAGAATGAACCTTTTGAAGGTACATGGTATCAAGTAAGATGGCAGCTATTTATTTTGAACACATCTGCATTGCAGACCATTGTACGATTTTTGCACTTGGTTACAGCAAAGAGTTGTAAGACTGTCATGAGCAAAGAGCGATGATTGGTCATTTGTCAGGTGATCATGCTGGACATTCTTTCTTGTGGATTTTCCAAAAGGATTAGACAACAGTTAGACCACAATGATTCCCTGAATAAAGAGCCATATTTATAGTTGCTCTTTAATAAACAGCTCCACGCAGGGATTCAAGGAAGCCTTCAACATGGCATCATATAAAGGACGGTTTTGGCAAACCTTGAAAAAATTCAGAGGTATAACTACAGAATTGCATCTCTACGAAAGACTATAATAATTAGCCACTGCAAAAAGTAAATAATACAGAGGAAAAAATCCTACGATTTTGAAAAAATTAAAGAAGGTCAAATTTACCTTAAAATAGTCAAAACTAGTGATTTTTTTTTTCATGCACTTTAATTTTTTGTAGAGGCAAAGCATCAAAACTCCTTGGAGGGTTGTATTTCCAAAGTTATACTGTTGAATATTTTCTCGAGAGAGTTAAAATTGTCCTTTTTATGATGATATGTCGGGGATCACCTTGTCAAAATGTAAACCGTACAAGACCTCCTATGGAAATAAGCTGTCTAATGAACAACTATGAATTTAACCCTTGGACCACAATGAAATCCCAAAACAAATTGCTAAAATAAGAAAATACAAATTGATACTTCACTTAGCTATCTTAATTCAATATTACGCGGGTTTAGAATGAAAAAAAATAAAAATTACTGATTCAACTGAGAAATAGGTACTTCAAATACACCTCGCCAAAGTTAAAATTTAAAATGAAGGATAAACACAAAAAATTCAATGATTAGAAAGTCACTTCAAATTCGTCAGAAAATGAGACCATGAAGTCTTATAAACTTCCCTCAAAGACAACATTACATTTTACGTGTATCAGATTTTCACGCCTTCAAGATTAACATTAAAAATTGCAGTAAACTCTAAAATTCTGAAAAACAGATTGTGCGAAAAAATAGGTACAGAGTATATTGATCAGGAGAGTGTGAATTTTATGTAAATATCATAGTCTTCAATCCTTTCTCGAATTCTTACTAAAGCAAACCTGTGAGAAAACAAGAAAATAACGCTAGTAGGGCCTATTTTTCTAATAGCCCAACAGAATCAACTTATTTTTCAAACAAAAATCAGATTTTTTATAAGTGAAGGTAGGGCATAACATTGATAAGACTAATACGTCTATCGTACAATCGATTTCAAGAATAGAACGAGGAAAGTGTTAAATATTGTATTAAAAAAGTTGAGATGAAGGATAGTTTTTTCTTTTCTCCGTTGCGACTCAAGAACTGGTTTTTTCCAAAGAAACTTTCACGATAAACTTTTTCTTTACTTGATCCAACTCATAGAATGAAAATACGACTAAATAATGAAAAACAACCAGTTTCAATTCGAGTTGTCACTACTGTCAGATAATGCTGAAAGGACAGTGCTTTCCTCAATTCAAACCCATGTAAAATATCTAAATTTGTCCGCACAATCTGGTAACCTTGATTTCACTTTAGTTTCACAATGCAAGCCAGGTTTTACATTGATACTCAAGCCTGCTACAAGACGCTTAAATTTTTTACTGTAGGGACATTCGGTTTAACTAGAGAGAGAGAAAGGGCGATTCAGCGTCTATGGCACGGGCGAGATGTTCACTTTGACGTAGGAGTTGAGTTGTCTCCGATTCGTGTGATCGAGGTTGAACCGTCTTGAAAATAGGGAGGGAATGCATTCTTGTTCCTGCTGTTCTTCATCATTTCTTTATACGCCTGCATTGACTGATTCGCTTGTGGAAACAGGGATTGGGATAACAGCTGCGGTGGAATGAGACCATTGTAAAGTGCTTGGAGCAAGACAGGATTCATGACACCCGGAATAAATGCGGAGACCGAGGGTTCCGCTACTGGCGGCCGTTGTCCGGCTCGTGACCCGCTTGTGGAAGCCGCTGGTAAGAGCTGGACTGGTTTTTGAGATCTTTTGCTAGCTGTACTGCTGGCTTTGGGGAAGGGTGGCATCGACTGCACAGGCAAATTCCTAGGTTTTTCCACAGACCCACTAGGACGAGGAATGAGAGTGATTTCTAAATTGGAGCCCTTCTTTGGGAACGAAATTGGCGTCTCACTTTTGACCGTCAAGTCTAGCACTTCGCAAGACCCATTACTCCTACTACTCGATGGTTGCGATATAGAAACAAAATTACCTTTTGACCGCCCCGCATTACTAAACTTAATTTCACTACCTAAATTAGGATGCAATTTCTTCACAGGCATGTCGCTGTGAACCTCGATCAAACTAATATTTTTATTGTTTTTAAAGAACGGTGCTATGTCTTTCTTTATCGGATTCCCACGGAAGATATCTTTTGGGTTGCCATAGACCGTCTTGTCACTGAAGTTGAACGCAGATTTGATTGGTGGGGGTAACGAGCGTCCGTTTGTGGATGGAGTGGACGACTGAGGAGGTGGTACAAAGTTAGCAAACTTCGGTCGCACCTCAGAAGTTGCAGGAAGGATAGTAGCGCCACCGCTCAACATGTGACTCACGTCCGGCGTGACAGTGATTGAGATTTTGCCAGGACTTGAGGGAGGTGGTGGAGGTTTGACAACAGTGGACGGGCCGCCTTCGTCCCTGTTAGTGGTGACTGGTGTAACTTCCAGGCCGCCTTCGCGGAGAATGTCGAGTTTCTGCTTCTTTGAAGAAGACGAGCCATCTTCCTTCTTTGCAGCTGATTCCTCAACGAGATCGATGATTTCTGGTGGGGTGCGAGGTTCCCGACGGATCCTGCGCAATGGGATGTTTTCTTTATCACGAGGTTTTTCTACAGGCATTAGGCGAATATTTTGCAATGCCGCATTGCGATTCTCAAGTTGCATTCGTTTCCGGACGACATTGGGATCCTGAAAACATAAAGTGAAAAATTAGCTACTAAGTACTCAGCCCTAAACTGGCACTGATCTGACTATTCATAAGAAAATACCTAATAAATATTACAGCTTAAGTGAAATTTTCATGAAACAGGAGTTGGCGAAGGAAATGCACTCTGTGGTCTGAGATATAAGAAAGAAGGATGGGTATGGATTCGATTGACATGAATCAATCGAAAAATGAAAACGTGAATCGATCGACAAGTAATTTAAAAACGCCCGTGTCAATTTGATTGACATGAATGGATCGAAAAATGAAAACGTGAATCGATCGACACCCATTTGATCGACAACCATGAATCGATCGACATCGATTCGATTGACAACTGTGAATCGATCGACAAACTTGTGAATCGATCGACAAACTTGTAAATCGATCGACAAACCCATGAGTCGATCAAATTTTGTTGATTGAATCGGATCGGTGTAGATCGATTCATGTCGATCAAATCACGTTTTCATTTTTCGATAGATTCATGTCGATCGAATCATGTTTTCATTTTTTGATCGATTCATGTCGATCGAATCGACATCGGTTTTTTAATACTTTGTCGATCAAATCAGTGTCGATCAATTTGCATTTTCATTTTTCGTTCAATTCGAACCCAGAGCCAAACTGAGTGAAAGAAATTCCCTGTCTTTTCAGGGTTTCCCTGACCAAAATGATTCCCTGATTTTTCACATCAACAATTAGCATACATAAAACTGTAAATGACCGATTTTAGGCATAAATATCACTGTAAATAACTGAAAAATGTGAGCGTTTTTTCTTCTTGCATTATTCATTCAATTAAATAATTTTCAATTACTTATTGAAAATTATTCTCCTTTTTACTATTCAGAGTAACTCAGAGTGCTGAACCCAGAGCCAGACTGAAACTCAGTTTGAATGTGTGGATGCTTCCTCAAATTTTAAGTTTCAATATTTTTCAAATTTCCAGTCTTTTACAAACGGCTTTGCAGGTCTTTGCTGCAGATTTTATGCAAAATAAGTAATGTCAATGTTCATCTTTCTAGATCATGCCTTTAGGATTGACCAAGACATTATTCCACTCTTGCTACTGCATACGTATCCATGATTTCTCCATTTCCTGTCTTTCCCCTGTCTTTTTTCGCTTTTCTCTGACTGCAAAGTATCCAAATTCTCTGACTTTTCCTGATCGTCAATAAAGACCTTCGCTTACATATGTTTGCTTTTAATTTAGCTTACGTTTGTTAAATTAAGGATAAAATCTCAACTCCTAGAGATTTAAATTGAGCATTGTTTCACTCAAGCATTGTTTGCGCTCTCTTGAAGGCATTGGCTGAGGTTGCTGAGACCATGCTCCACTTACTAAATTCTCTGACTAATCCAGGTTGCCGAAAATTCACTGACTTTTCAGCTTTTCCAGAAAGCTTACGAGGTGGCACTGTGATAGTACCAACATACCAAAGTTTTCTAAATGTTTACTTAATATTTAAGATGTTCCATGAAATTTTAAAAAAAAATTTTGGTCAACAGACTGTGTTTTCTCCAATAATATCAACATAGGATCATTCCAAAGTAAACTGCAAAATAGCCGCGCGTATGCTTAACATATTGCATAACCCTGTGAAAACCAAATGAGCATACTTTAAATGGCTTTAACTGCATATTTAAATTTGTTTCGATATAATCACAACTTCCATTTAACAATGAATTTTCCCAGTCCCCTAAAAGTTGTTACGTCACTATTTTACTGCAATTATTTTTCTCAATGATTGAGTAAGCAACTGAAAAAGAGTTTGTGGAGTTTCACGGATACTACTTGCCTCTCCAGTCTGCTTGCATTTGTTCTCTATCTGAATCTTCTGCTGCTTCTTGTCTGACATATGCCTCTCAAAAGGAAGAAGATACCTGTTGAGACACAAAAATGGATCAGTTATGGTGAGCAAGAATCATAGACCCAAAATCCAATTTATAACACTTTAGTGCCTTTATGTTATGATGATAATGGACTAAAAGACAAGGTATGAAGTTTTGCATTCTGAAGTAAGTGCATTGTGCCCTCTTCAAAATTTCACATACCAAACGATTTGTGTCATGAAACTGACCGACATTAACTCCTCACCAAGATATTAACGAGTTACTAAGCACTGGCTACAAAAAATTTGAATCTTCCTCTCACAAGAAAAACTAGAGTTAACATAAATTCAATGGTGCACTACAACAGGTTTTCCAGGCTTCTTTATCGAGCTGTGTTCTTTTCCCACCTTCTATTGTTCAAAAAGTTAACTACATACATCACCTGAGTTGAGGCACTGAGATTGAGGTTGCCATATTTTCACACCGCAGAGACTGTTACATTTAGTGTGCGATTTAACTCCAGTAGATTATGGTTCTATTCATGAGTGGAAGGTTTTAATTTGTGCATCGCAAAACATTGACATCTTGGTTAGGCAGTCTTTTTAATGCAAGAATCATGTTTTACGTGTATTTTGATGAGGAAACATCTCAATGCTGAAAGTACCTTGTCTAGTGGTCTATTACATTAAAATTCTAAGAAATTTCAAACTCAAAACATTCTTTAGCACAGTGAGTGTAATTATTTGATATTTCAGATATGACAACCTTAGAAATAAATTTTTCAGTTGCCCAGGTATAATGCAAACTTAGTTGTCACAGTGATTGTCATTGTGCCAGATAAATTTCTGGTGAATTAGAGCATCATTTTTAAATACAAAAAACTTATTTTGATTTATTACAAGTTCTGAATTTCACTTGAATAATTCTCGCTATACAAATTCATGCGAGAGAGATTCAGTCAAATGAGCTGTTAATTTATTACAGAGCTCAAGAGGTTGGTAGGAGAGATGAGGAAAAATAATTTGCAACGCTTTGATTGAAATTTTGTAAATCGACAAGTTTACGAAAATTAATGTGTGTATAGAAGATCAAATCTGAGTCAATCATGGCTAATCATTTCAGACGGTGAGACTTACAATGTATATGAGCAATTTGAACTGAATTAGAATGAAAATGGTGAGAGAAAGTATGTAGAATTAAAAACAGCTTGTATGGTATGGTCAAGTACAGAGAATGGCAGAGGATATATTGCCAATGAAGGTCCTAGATTGGGTTCCTCCTGAGGGAGGGCATAGACGGCGCCCATTAGGAGAGAGGAGGAATGGCATTCAATCCAAAATGTGAAAGAGTGAGATTATCAAACGTTTATCAATTAACAAAGAACAGTAAGGGGTCATAAAGCGCAATGAAGTGACATTTATGTATTGATAGAATAAAAGTTGTACTTGACATTAAGGCTTTTTGGTGGATAAATGAACAAATAACAAGTTTCATTGTTGTTTGAGGCTATGCACTAGTACTAGTTTCTCGTAAATTCAGTTATTGGAAAATACCTACACCATGTAAAAACTTAAAAACTGATAGGATATGTCAAAATAAATCAGTATTAATTTATATATTGCCTGCGCTCAGCATATGAAACTCAGAAATGTTAATGGGAATAGAATAAGAAAGTTCGATACTCACTTTTCATAGTGCCGTTTGCAAAAACTTGAATTACCAGCTTCTTGCGCTACGTACTTCCATAGCCGATTAGTTGTGACTGAGTCATAGCCACCCATGAGCCTGACTTTTTCATAAAGTCGAAATAGATCTACTGCAATACATAAATATTTAAAATTAGGTTAGAAGTTAGAAAGAAGGTGATTTTCAATAATTGTACCGACATCAAGAAAATTCATTTGGTTAATGCAAATAGACACAATAGTAGGATGGTAAAAAGAAGTTGAAGTAATGACTCACCCTGTCAAATGACCTCACATTTTGGTAAGAGACAGCGCAAGGAAATGGATAACTGTATCTTACGAGGGGGAGCCCAAGCGAAACTGGATAACCTTCACCCTGACTAATAGTTTTTTTTTAGTACTGACTCCTCCTTTCAATAGTGTATCGAGGAAATTTCAGTGATACAATATGCCAAATGACACCATTTAAAACACACCCAAAAAATTTGTATGGCCGTTTTGCTGAAGCATGTTCTAACTGCATTCTTTTGTTCCACGCATTTCATCAGAAGTTTTTCAATAAGAATGACATCTATGAACAGCGGTTGTCCATGAAGTTTCTTTGTAGTACTCTTGACAATTCCACCTTATATATTTTTGATGAAAACTGAGTTAGTCCTGGAAATGGATTCTATATTTTCACTGATTCGAGGAATCAGAAACACCATGCAACAGCTCCTTTGCCTGAAGCATATTCAGCAAATTTCCTGTAACTTAAGCCTGGTAATACCAATTGAATCGTTTTGTGCGAAAACCGCTAATGTCCAGTCCATTTTCTTCAATTTTGAGATTTTTGAATTAAAATACTCTTGGAGGTTGGACACTTTCATTAATGTGGTGAAAATGTATGTTTTTTAGTTTAGAACCTTTTTCACGAGTGAGCTGTGGTCCAAATTGTGTAAAAACCACTAATGTCCATCTTTCCTTGTATGCCTTTCATAATCGGTGTATCGGAGGACCCTAAAGGGTCAAAAAATATGCGATGTTGATGCATTGAAGTCCTACATATGAAAAGACTTCTTAGAGTTTTATGAAGGCTTGGTGAATTGGCCACTTGCAGAGGCAAATCATGACTCCTCCAATGAGAAGAGTGACGGCAGCAAGTTACAAGATGCTTAAAGAGATTCCTTTGATTGTTTTTGCTTATTTTTATTGTTCGTCATTCTAAAGATACTTTTTTATTATTTTTCAATAAATTCTGTACTCAAAAATATGCGTTTTCCATGCTTTAGAACCGACCATGCACAAATCGTGCAAATACCGCCAATGTCCAGTTTATCGCTGGTAGCTACGTAATGAAACTTGTTATAGATGCTGCAATCGTCAAGAATTTTGTTTTTATAACTTTATTTAAATGATAAACTACAATTTTAATCTCTTTAAAATTAATTTTGAGAATATCTGACAGCTTCAAAGCAAGATTTTAACGTTTCACGCGAAAACCGCTAATGTCCAGTGTCCTTTAATTCTAATTACTCCATCCCGGACAAAGGAGGAGCTGCAGGCTGTTAGGGATCCTTTTCTACAATTCACTTCTATAATAATGCACTTCTAAACATTTTTAACACAACATTTACAAAGCTCCTACAGTTTTTTGCAGTTTTCTAAAAAATTATAAGAAATGGACATTAGCAGTTTTTGCTCGGAACGATTCAATTATACTAATAACCAATTTTACAAAAAAAGATCGCTTACTTAGGGGGTTGAGCATGTAAATAACTTCAAAATAGTTAGTTATGTTTCCTTGATACTTAACCCTGGGGATGAAACCTTCCCTCAAGCACTAAAAAAAAAGGGATTAATTTTTAACCTTTAATTTATTTCATTTGAGAAGGCAACACTTTCTCTACTTCATAGAGACTGAAGTCACAAGGGTTTTAGTGTAAGAGTAGAGAGATTCGGAAGAGAACAACTTACGTTTTTTGAATCCAACCATGGGCAAACCACCAATAGGTGTTCGTCGGTTCATCATGAAGTTGTACAAACTGGCTAGGAAGCTTTGTTCTTGAGCGCTACCACTATGTGGAATGTTTCTTGAAGCATTGAGAAGACTGTGTTTCTGTGCAGCAGCCGCTTGCTGTAAAGAAAAATCGAACAGATCAGTACATTAAATAATAATTTCTGATAAAAAAGAGCGCAGGTCAATGTAGGTAATGTTAAATACTTCGGTATAAAATATTTTGCTTTGGAACTTCGGTAAAAATAATTGTGGAACTAGCAATGCAAGCATACTGTCCGCCACTAATGGCTGACACTTCCCCAAATCAAGTTCCTTATTCTTGAGCTGGGGTCAGGAATAACAGAACTGTTTGGTCTAGGACTAGAGAACATTGAAGCGTTTGACCAAAATTGAACAAAATCGATTTATCATCACAAAAATTAATATTCATTGACTAGCCGTGATTGGCTGATGTAATAGTTAACACTCGGCTACTTATTCGCAACAATCCATTTTTTAGTTTTTAAAAATTAAATTATTCCTCTGAGACATGATGTTGCAAATTCTTATCAGTATTTTATTTTATTCTATTTTTTATTTTTATTTTAGAGAGTGATGATCACAATTTTAAAATTTTAAGGGAAAATTTGGGACTCTGTGTAATACGAAAGCCACAACATAGATTTGAGGCGTTCTGAATCCAAGATTCAAAATTAATTCATGCCATAGAAGGTTAACATGTCATCTTTGACAAAGGCTTTTAAGTTCATGAAATGCAGCGAAATTTTGCATTCCTTAGCTGAAATATTCTCTTCCATTTACGTTTGTATCATTATTTTTATTATTATATACTTTGGTATGTTTATATTTTACTAAAGTTGCTCACTTTCATAATCAAGCTTGAGCTATGTTCTTAAAGATGATACAGCCTGAAAATAATAAGTTACAGCAGATACAGTTTAAAGAAATTAATTTTACTAGAGCAAATGTTACCTGTTGAGAAGATTCCGAAGATTCAGAGGATGAGGAAGAAGAGGATGTTTCTGATTCTGTATCCGATTCCTCTGGAGCAAAGCTGAGGAATTTTCTTTTTCTTTTTGATTTGCATCTTATTTTTGGAGCTGCAAAAATATTGAAATAAACTGTTACATATGATTCTCAACATCTTTTTTTCTACTTCTCCATTTATAGCTATTGTGAGACAACATAGGTTTCATAAAAATCATACCAAATTTTTGCAGAAAAAACAAATGCATGTACTAAATTCATTCGAGCTCATTCTATAATTATAATTTTAATTTGAGGTATCTTAGTATTTGATTTTCTCTGAGAACAGCGTTGACTATCTCGCATCCTTTTGTTTTCAAAATACACGTTGCAAGCGGTTTCTATAATTTTTGTTTCAGATGCTTTGATGGGTAAAGTTGCACTGATATCGAATGATTCTAAGCTCCCTACAGGACCTAGCGTTTTATTAAATCTACTCTTTTGAAACTACAAAGTTCATGACGTAGGAATGTTTTTGAAAATGTCCGTCATTTTTTGCGCGTAAATGATTCTACAGCACCTCTACAGGCAGTGGTGCTAATAAATCAGCTTTTTTTTGGGAGTGCGGTTCTTTGTCCCACAGACCAATATCCGTCGGCTTCCTGTGGTGTTGAGGCTGTAGTGCTGGCCCTCTAACTTGGAGGTCCCCAGTTTGGACCCCGACCAGATGACCTGAGTTTCATCGTCTCAGGTACTGGACACTTAAGGCTGGGTGGTGTAGCGTGGGATTAACCTGAAGGGCTACTTGAAAATTTGACTCCATATCATAAAATCATAAGCTTAATGAGCGAAACACTTCAGAACCTAACGCTGGGCGTGTCCACTACCCCCTTCTACTGCACCATACCATCCAGGGGGTCTGGACCCCCCTTAGCCTCGTTAATGGTACTTTTTTTTTACTTTTGGAAGGCAGACATATAATATTATCACGGACTAACACAAAATAAGGCAACTTTACTGTCACGGACAACCCCCCCCCCCCCCCCCCACAGAATCCCTAGCTATGCTACTGCATTCTGCGAATTCTCAATCCACTAGCCTTTCTCATACGGAACTCTTACTGTATAGTTCCACTTTCCCTTCCAGCTTTTTTCCCGCCTGGTCCGCCAACCATTTACAGTTATCTGACCAGCAACTTTTTGACACATTCTTTTGTGGTTCGTGTGGCTTAGCTAGGTATTTTTTTTTTTTTTTTTTTAGTTTTTTTATTTCTTTTTCCCTCTTGAGCATGGGATTCCAATGATTTTTTCAAAGATTCGTGAAGAACTCTTACAATTAGTAACGTTGATTTCTCTCTCTGTGTGTGAAGCCTTAGAGGGTGTGAAGCGCCTAAAGGGGGTGGAACCCTTAGTTTCTAATATAAAAGAAAAAAAGGAAGATTAAAGTACGCATACCTAAATGATTGCACAGAAGTTCGTGGCCTTCAAGGTCAGGGTAGTCGAAGGTATCTTTACAGAAGAGAACTCTAGTATTTTTACAGGGGGAGGCGATGCCACCGAGGGCCATCACCAGCGCTGTCCTCAGCCATTTGTTGTGTACACCTTCTAATCGCTTGAGGATTCCTCTATAGCGGCAGTAGCGTGGATAACTAAGAACAACTACACCGATACTTGTTTCCCAATGAGAATCATCTGAAATAAAAAGAATCGACTTTTAGTTATACGATAGGAATTGAAACTTAAAACTGGTACTATTTATATAATTCCATCATCGGATAGAGAGATAATAACTAACTAGATCTTCAAATTTTCAAAATCTGCACTGTAACTTATTTAGTGGGTAATAATTTCTCATGCAGAAAGGGGTTGCGGTGTCTCAAAATCTTCACTGCCAATTTAAATTTTAGAGCGGAGACTATTCAATGAATTTTCTGGAATCTTTCATAGTCAGTATTGTAAAATCATGAAGAAAATTCAGAATAAGTTTCAACGAATTCCATGTACAATTTGCTTCAATTATATTGGATGAAACGTTAGCGGAGATTCTGAGATACCGAACCAAGAAATTCCCTCTCAGCACCCAAAGCTTCAATTAAATTGAACGGTTTTCAAATTGGAAAATGAAGTACGAAAGAGGTTAGCGATGTCCCAAACTGAGATGCGAAAAAGTGGTCTATGAGTTTATGCATTCCACATTTTTCTAGTATGTTTGGTTGTTGGTGATTCGAGTCAACATTGCATTGAAAAAGCGTATTAAGTACAGGGCTGCCGCAGAATTTAGAAAATGTAATTCCCTGACATTTCCCTAATTTTCTCAACAAATTTTGGTGGAATTCCCTGACAATAGGACCGAGTTCAACAGAAAGGAACCAAGCCACATAAAGTTGAAACTGAGAAACAGAGGTTTGGAGTTTTATTTTTGTGTAAGGCTCAATGTAAAAAATAAATTTTAGCCCCTCTTAACCCAGACTAATTTTTCTTTTCTCGACTTGAGTTTTTGGCAGGGCTATATACGACTCAACACCATTATTGGCTCAATTTTTCCCAAAATGTGGGTTGGTTCCTTTCTGATGAACTCGGTCCAATTGAAGATATGCCAGATGGTTAAAGAGACAAAGAAATGGTCTCTGAGGAAAATTTGTTGTTTGAAACGTTAAACCCATTATAGAAAACAATTAATGGTGATTGAGGTGAGAATAAAAAAATTTTTCCTGACATTTTCGTCATTTCCTCTGACGTTTTCGCCATTTTTCCTAACATTCCCGCCATTTTCCATGACTTTCCGAAATTCCCTGACATTTTCCGGTTTTCCAGGCATTTCCTGACTGTAGCAACTCTGGTAATACCTTGTCAAATCGGAATTATTACCTAATTGCTCCTTTTCTTGCTCTACATCTGAGAAGTCTATGCCAGTGTTTGAGTTGGACCCTGTGAGAGTCGTCTTCTCTGGGCCGTCTTTGGTCCACACGGCCCCCAGGCCCCACCCCCAATCCGTTGCTTCGTAGATCCATGTCAGCAAGTCTTCCAATCGGATAACCACTTTCTCTGTGATCGCCAAAACCTCGTCCTGAAACAGATCAAAAGCAAATCATGAGTTCATCGAACTATGTACATTTGGGTCACATCATATGTACTGAATCGAGGACTAAACTTCGGAAACAGTTTCGTAATTGTTGATTCCTAGATGGTCATGGAAATATGTTACATACAGTAGTACTGATTCTCCGCAGGACTACCAAGGTGTCTACTAAAACAGGCTGGCCAAAAATAAATACTTTTTCAGTACATCCGATTGACGAGATTCGAGAAATTTCAAAATTTGAATTTCTCGCTCAAATTGCGACAAAAAGCCAAAAAATGAAAAAAAAAATCCGAAATTCCTGCAAAATTTCCGCACTTTTTCAGTATTTCCGGACTCCATCAGTACTATTATAGTTCCGGACTTTCCGGAAATTCCGGATTTGTGGCACCCTGACTACTTAAGCTGAGGGGAACTGAGTAAGTGCAACTGAAGTAAATAAAAAGGAGTTAATTCAATTCATTCGTGCACGAGTCTCATAACACACTTGAGTCCAATGCCGCAAAAAAGCGTAAAGTATCGTACAATTATGTACGGATTGAGTTTCCATGGCGTAAAAAGCTGGGTCGGCAAATTTTTATCGCGGATATATTCGTTCAGTTTCGTAGAAGTTTTCAGAAGTTGTGAGCGAGACGCATCGCTTGACAGGTGACCTTAAGCTCCCCCTTACCCCCCCCCTCACCGGTCGGCAGGACCCCCTTCCACAGTATATCTGCTCCTTTCTCTTCATTGTCGAATTTTGGCCTGTCCGCTCTGATTAGACCACTGGCCTTCAAAACTTTGCACTCGAGAGCACCAGAAGCAAAGGCTAAGCGTGAACGATCGATTATCGATATTTCCCCATTTGAAACTGTGGTAAAGAGTCGATTTTAATAAGCTCATTCCGAACACCCTGTTTATCGATCTTATTCCATAGATTTAAATGGAAGATCAATCGATTAATCGCAAAGCGCGCTACGCCACTGACTGGAAGAAGAAATATAACTCTGTGTATGGAGCATCCACTCGGAATTTTTCTCGAAAAATGAAAAGAAAAAAATTTATGGGAGAAAATGATCTAATTTTGGCTTTCAAAAGTGGATTTGAGAGGTATCTCCCCTGAGGTTGAGGTTTCCCTTTCAAGATACACTGTGAAGAAAAAAGCTTCAATGAGTGATGAAAAAAATAAATTTTAATATAAAGTGCACAAACTTAATGTTTCTCCTCAGCAATACTAAGCATAGAGGATGTAAGTTCGGAGTTCCTCTCAGCATGTAACTACGAAGTTTCATGTAGGCTTCAATATTTCTCTGTAAACGAAGTATAAAATAAAATAAGGCTCAATCCTTCCAAGGGCCATAGCAACGGAGTGATAAAGATCGCATCGGGCCATAAAAACACATTTTATTACGCACTTGTGACGTAACACCGTGTATTCCCGTAATAGAATAAAATCGTATACTTCGGTCGGTATACTTCAACTTGAGAGAAGGATCAAAATACTCATTTTTACTCCAATTGGCACAGTCTCGAAATACTAGTACTTTGACTACTAATTAAGTAGGTACTTTCAAACTGAAAATTTAAGAGCACATTTTCTTCCAAAATTCATGGAAATAGTTTCAGAAACACTGAAAAAGCAAAGAAAAAAGTTCTGCCCCCCCCCCAATTATTTTTTTTAGACTTGTTTGTTTCTATCTTTGACAGTATGTAATATGCATATTAAAACAACAAAGTACAGTTATTGATTAATTCGAATTCTCCTGTCTGTCTTACTGAGTTACTGTGATTACTGAGTTCAGTAAATAATACTAAGGACGCAAAAAAAGAAGAAAACACGGAGATGGGGAAATGTCCTCTTTCTACATTTTTTTTCCTTTTCTCAAGTCGAGGAAAATACATAGTTCTTTCAGTTATGATAATTTCAGAAGCTCTTCTCAGTCTTTTTTTCTTTCCGTAGTTTACACCTGCTCGATAAAGTGACTGGATTACCTAAAGCGCGGGAAGGACTTGAAACATCGTGCACACAGCAGCGTCAGCAAATGCTACCACCCGTCACCTGCCCACAACTTGATGACGTAGTACTACGTAACTCAAAAGCGAGCTTTTTCCATTCATAGTCCCTACTGCCGCCGTCTAGCGGAGTCGTGCGGTACTACTCACACCGTGCACTTCTCCTTCTCTATGCGTCCCGCCAAGCGCACAGTGGATCGAGTCAATAGCAGAGGTCGGACATAATTTAAAAACTTTCAAAGCGTATATCATTATGAATATGAAGTGTTGACGTTTTAAAAGTAGTTTCATAGGGTTTCTCGTAAAATTCTCGATGAAAATCACCCCTTACAATTAAAATCGTGACGATATAAACGTAAAATTTTACAATTTTTGTCACAAATTTCAGGTCCGATTTCTTCCAAAGACTCGTTCCACTGTGCGGCGCCTATTGTCTGTTGCAACGACATTAGCACGCGAACAAAAGGCGACGTTGCCAGCACCGAAGTCTGGATGAAGACCATCGATATCTCAAAATTATTGGAAAATTTAATATGGAGTCCCTTTATATTGAGAGTAAAGACAATGTGAATCCATTTCTGATTGGTTCCCGTATTTTTAGGCCTTCAGTGTCACAAATGGGAATTAGTATTACATTTTCACCAACTGCAAAGATTATAAACTGGAATGGACCGGGGAATGGGGGGTACGGCATACGGCAAGGATCAAATGGAATGAGAGAGGGAACGGAAACAGGAATTTAATTAATTTTTCCAGGGTTTCCCTTGCCAAAGAAAATATTCTTGAATAGATTCCCGATATGTCAGGTTGCATGACCGAAAGGTAAGAAATTATAAACACGAAAATGAAAACTTGATGGTTCCACAGAACAACTCCACGATCAATCATTTTTTGAGAATTCAATGAATTTTTCCAGAGTTTCCTTTGCCAAAGGAAAAATCCCTGATAATTCCCGGTATTTCAGGTTGCTTGACACACTCATTGTTACGCTTCACAGTGAGGACTCATGCCATGCCGTGATTACCACCGCAGGTATGACTTCGAGACTAACATCAGAACACGTCCCAGTTCCAGTGGCCGTGATTCGTTCCACGGATGATCAAGCGGTAGAAAAACTATTGATACTGCGCAGCACAGTGGTGAGATAATCTCCTTTTCTTTTTCTTTTTCCTGAACGCCAATGGAAGAAAATATTAGTTGAAACACACATATAAGAGCAGGCGGGAGGAGACAGGGAAAGAAACCCAGGTTCCTTTGACCCCTTCTTTACCATGACTGGGGAAATTTCCCCCACAGGCCTCATTTTCCGGGATTTTTCCACCTTCAAACACCCCCGCCCTCCATGGGCTTTTTTTGGCTCTGAACCCCCCCCCCTTCCCAAGTAAATGTCGCAGGCAAGAAGTAAAATCAGGCATTTTGTCACTTGCCTTGGCAAACAGTCAAATATTCTAACTTAGATTGAAATTCTGATTCTTTTCCTACCTTCAGACGAAATAAATAATTGCTTCTGTAAGAAACAATTCTAAGTAAAAATTTGCACCACACAATAGTATTTTAAAGGATGTTTAGCTCCTGAGCAGACACTCATCCTAAACTTTTCAGCACGTCATAAAATACAGTATTTTTAGAATTTCAACATTTAAAACGATGTGAAGCAATTGAAGAGGAAGAGACAAAAAAGATTTCATAGGTTTGATGAGTCATTATTCCTAAAATATCGAAAACTCGCGAGCTCTTCAACACGAAATCACAAAAATTTATAAACCGTCACAATTTAACCTGCCTAGAAATTTGACAAAATGACTGATTTCACTATTTGCTTGCGACATAAACACACGTTTCTGGTAATACCAACACATTAAAGTTTAACTTTTTCATATTTTGCCTCATTAATCGAAGATTTGCAGACATTGCGACGGAGGTACGCATTTTTTAACATTAGCTATCGAGAACCTGGAGCCAAAGCGACAGCTGTGCTGGGTATTGGGTTAATATACACTTGAAGACGTAAAATTTAATCTTTCAATTGAAAGTCGAAAAATAAATCAGTAGTGCAGCAGAATATTTTCGGTATTCAGATGGCTGTTTACTTCCGGTATTGATTCACTTCGATTAATAATCCCGATCCGAGTCAATTAAATCCGTCGCAAAAGCGTGGAACTGCCACGGAAGATTTGAGTTAGGTTAGGTTAGGTCACGCAACTAAATCAACTTCGCGGCAATGCGGGTGGTGTCTCACGGAAATGAAGGCGCGCCACAGCTAAATCGCGCAGATTCCTCCGGACGCTACAATTACATATATTACCGGAGAGTTTCACGTTTCTCTCATTTTCTCTTCAGTACTTTGTGCACTGTACAAACAGCATAAATTGATGACTTAGTCGACAAATACGTTATTTCCATGTCGGCAAATTATAAATTACCATGGTAATTACTAACTCAATTAAGATGACTCCTTTGCCAGAACAGACGCGTTTTTAATTTCAGGAAGGCCGAAAATCAGTACTTTTACAGTACTTTTCCAGTCCATTCACAAGAAATTCAGTACCTCCTCATAAGAGAAATTCAGTGCTTTTTCAGTACTCTCAATTGACGAAATCCAAAAATTTTCAAAAATTTGAATTTCTCGCTCAAATTGCGACAAAAATGACAAGAATTCCGGACCTTCTCGCGAAATTCCGCACTTTTTCAGTACTTCCGGTCCGCCCTTAAAAAATCAGTGCTATATCCGGACTTTCCAGAAATTCCGGACTTGAAGACACCCTGAATTTAAGTCTCTAATTTTCTGGGATATTTCTCTGATGAGTGCCTGTATTCCTGCGTCCTAGGCGCCATAACCAAAAAGAACCCACTGTTCGGCGTGATACCAAAACGATTTTTTGCCCTCATTTTTTCATCCGAAAATCGCTGTCAGTTTCATTGAGGATAAAGTGCTTTGCATACTTTGTTTACCATGTAACTACTAAGCGCGTGTCGAACTGTTATTTTGCAGCTCT